CGCTCGCATCGCGCTCTCCGCTGCCCCGTGCTTCCTGGGCCCGGCCGCCCACTCCTTCTGGCACCCGGAGCAAACCTGCAAACGGCAACAGTTTTGGCACGGTCTGTTATTAAAAATGCATCAACTGTATAATCAATTCTACGCTGTAATATGAAATGAAAAATGTAAAAATAAATTATAGTGCAAGGAAAACTGAAAAAGTCAAGTTACAGTGCGTAATGCTTATGTGCGTGACTCAAAGTTTTATGTAACACAGATACAGTTTCATTAGTATCACCAATATTCACATCAAGAAATAGTAGGATAACATTGCTTGTGATATTTCAGTACCCAATGATTCGAAGTACTCTTACTTTGTTTATTTTTTCTTCTTCATATGATTCTGTAATTCATGTACTGGTCTTCCTTTGTCCATTATCGTTTCATCTTTCTCCTCTACCGCCATGTTTCACTGTCCTCTCTTGTCCTCGCATACTTGCACCCCTGCCCAGTGCTCCGTTAATTGTTTGCCATCCACTCCATACCCCGCCCACCTGTCCCCGGCGGCCAATACCTGCCTCCTCTCGCCACAGGTCTTCGCCTCTTGTCAGCTGCTTCGCCTACACCCACGATTGCTCACTAATTTATCCATAATATCCTGTCGTCCTGTCTCCCACGCCCTTCCTGCCTCTTTTCCTCTTCGGCCGTCCCCCTCCCAACATGTCCCGTCCCTGTCAGCTACGCGTAACTTCATATGACCCCGACTCAGCTCAATCTGCCTCCCCCATCCCATCCTCGTACATAACTTTCCGACTCTTTGCGTCTCATGCGACCTGCCGCGCCCTCCGTTGTGCTGGTGTCGGGCCCGCCCAGGCCCTGGCGGCGGCCCCGCCCACACGGCTAGTGTGCTCCCTTCAGACCAGCCCTTGATCGTCACTGTTCCGGCCTTCATGATGCAGTCCACGCCGTTTGCCATAAATGAGGTAATGCTCAAGCGAATGGTTGTTGAAACAATGTTAGGGGCCGTTGTGGAGGCGGGATCCGTTAGAACGTCGCGTCGTGCGTTTTAATGACGTTTCGCGCGTGATACGATCGCCGTTGCTTAGATTCCCGTCAGATTAATGTGGAGAGAGTATCTCGGGACGAAGGGTCAAAAACAATGTGACATAAGCTAGGGCGGGGCTTTCAAGCCAAGGCTTGGGAAATAAACGTTGCATTCTTTATGGCTTCAACCTACGCATCCACGACACGTACACGACATTCTCAGTAACATAATAATGATGAGAAAGTTTATGTATTTACCACGGTATTGATTTCGATAAAAAAGATTGGGGTACATATTTTGTCAAAGTGTGATCAGAACCCGGATCCAAGTCCTAAAAGGGAAGACGGCTCATTAATTCAGTAGAATACCCATTGAAGGTTAAAAATCGAGGTGATTCATTACTCATACAACGTCCACCGAAGTATCAAGAACCAGAACTAGTGCTGCAGTCACAAACAAGGAGGAAATCATATTTTCAGACATGAAGTGCTTCCCATTACATAAATGGAAGAGAACAATTTCGTTAACAATCGTCATCCAGAATAAAAAAACATTTTCTAATCTGTTGTCGGAAGCGGGTATATCACTGTTTACAAGCGGATGGGAAGAATAGATGGATATTACCTTATATTTGAAACAATTCTAAGAAGCGTGAAGGTTTGACTTAACCAATACATATCAATCTGGACCGACGCGCGAAGCCTAACACTGTTAGCAAAAATAATATTAAAAACGAAGGCTAGAGACTGTTTTCCAATCATGTGTTCTTGGAAACGAATGATGACTCATCGTATGTTTCCAGTGATGCGAAACAACTCTAATTCTCACAATCGCCACCAAAAATCTCAACATCAATTGACCAAACAGTATTTAGACTTTATTCGGCCAATCCGTCATTGAGTGATATACGGAACGATATGTACTATGATGAAAACGCTATTGAAGTGACGAACGATGAGTTTGGAGGAGAATTTATCCACGCTTCTTCTACATGGTGCAAATACATCTCCAAAGAGGAGCTTACGCCTCATCAAAACTCCGCGCACCGGGTCGGCAACCGACCCGTCTTCTAGGGGACTGAACTGTTCATCAACAAAGCGTTATCCAATGTGCGCAGAAGTAAGAGTTCAGAGACTAACTTTGGGTGTATTGATGGTGCATTCTTGCGGGGGAGAGGCTGTTTCGTGGCGGCGG